AACAAACTCTCTCCATGACTTCTCCCCAACAGCAATAAATAATGCTAACAAATTATTATAATCAGTAAAGCAAGCAGCTAGGACTCTGACTACACAAAAAGAACAGATAGATTTTTTGAGTAAGAAGGTGCTCTCTTTTTATATAGTCACTTTTCAGAGTTGGATTTAACCTCAGTATCCCTGTTTTACTGATGAGACTTCCAAGGTACAAATGGGTACGTTTACACTTGCTCCGTAGTTTGAGCTAGGGATGCAAATGTAGGTGACCGAAATTGCTAATGAGAGGGGATTAAAATATCCCATGCTTTATTAGCATGATCTCGCCGCCGCGTTACTCCACTCAACAGCTGATTTGAACCAGGAAGTGCATGCCGGGACGCGTTAGTTTTAACCAAACCCCTCAAAAAATAAGGAGTAACGTTAGTTTGAACCAAGGGGTTTGGTTCGAACTAACACATCCCGGCACTCATTTCCTGGTTCGAATCAGCTCTTGAGCAGAATAACGCACCGGTGAGATCATGCTAATGAAGTGTGGGATAATTAAATCCCTGCTTCATTAGCAATTTCAGTCGCCTACATTTGCATCCCTAGCTCGAACTAGGGAGCAAGTGTAGACATTCCCGATGTGATTATCAAACTATGAAAAGAGACAGCCTTTCTGCAGGGCTCTTGAGAAACAGAATTGTAAAGTTTAAAAAAAGTTTCCATTTGAACTCTCATTTGCAGTCTTAATCTTAGCACATACACATGCATTCTTTCAGCTGAAACTGCATATTTTACAATTTTGATTAAATCTGATGTGTCTGGTTTGTTGTTTGGAATGAAAAAATCCCTAAGAAATCAGCTTTTCCACTTATTTTGAACTCGAGTCAGTAATGGTTTGGTTTTCAAACTTTTAGAACTAAGGGTCAGATCATATGTGCATGTGCAGAAGGGCCATGTACCTCGCACAGAAGTGCTAGCTGGGCGATGCAGTAGTCTCTCCATGGTGTAAGAACCTGAGCTGCAAAGTGGGCCAGGAAAGGGAATAAGATCTCTTCATGCTTCTTCATCCCACCACCCTTGAGGGGAATTGCTCAGAAAGTTATTACTTTACAGTATTAATACTGCATCCCTCTGACTTTTGTATGCAACCATGTAGAAGGTACCTGAGGGGATGAGAGGGGAGATTCAAAGCAAGTGAAGAGTCTGTGGAATCACAGGTTCCTTGAATCCATGCCCTCCCACACAAGACTTTTATAAAGGCACCTATACTTTGTCAGCTAAGGCGCTGAATTCCGGAGGCTTAGGGATTGAAATCCCTGTTTGTTTCAGAGCAGTCACCTTCCCAGAATTTTGAGAGAACAATACAGAGGAAGTGTTGCAACGCCACTGTGGCCTGGTTTCTTGCTCTTGCTGTGAGTTTTCTCATTTTAGAATTATCTGAGCCTAGTTTCTGCCCCAAGCCTCACTGAGGATGAATTGGTTTAACTTGTGAGAAGAAAATGTTTAAACTGACAGAGCCATCCTTGAGCCCAGTGAACTGAGCAGGAGTAAAGGTGGTCAACAACTGTTCAGCCAACAACAGGAATTTTAGATTCTCCCTCATATCAGCAAGCTCCTCTCTTTGAAATAACTTGCACAGATGGCATGTGCCTTGGGTTTTGATCAAGTCGAGGAAAATATATATATATATTTTACAAAACTGCAGCCATTTACAACTGAAGCAAAAATAGAAAAATAATCCCTGTGTTTCATCAATTATATTGTTTACAATCCATGTTAAATTTGTTTCAAGAATACTATTCATTAGCCTATATTTTATCAACATCACATCCTAACAAGCCCATACATCTGTTCAGCAGCCTCCTCGCTTCTGTTCATTTCCTTATCTTCAGCTGTGCACAATGTGTCGATGAGATTTCTTTTCTGTCACTGGTTTCATTCAGACCACCCCAGGGACTTTAAGGACTTTAAAGTTGTACTTTGTAAGAGTATGTTGTCATATAGGAAACTCAGGATAGAATATGTGGGGTGGGGAAATATCAGTTTCTCAGGTGAAAAAGCCCATTGTGTAGGGCTTTGTGAAGAAATAAGCTCATGAGCTTCCCCTTCCCTGACTCTTACCCAAACTTTTTTTTTTGGCCAGAGGGATGGGAGTTCCCCATTTTAGTACAGGTTCATTCTCCAAAATGCATGGAATCCTGACAGTTTCTTGTTTGTGCAAATCACTATTCATTATGACAGCAGTTGTGACTTTGAAGCAAGTGACTTATAAAATACAGAGCACTGTTCTGTCTGGAATCAGGCTGAGAGATTCTGGAATGGCAATATTGGGAGTTTGACTGTTGCCATCAGTGCTTTACCTGTTGTATGAATTTCAGTTAATATGGTTGACAATCCATCACTTTTTGAGTACAAATAAAATTGCTTTTGGTATATACTGCAACTGCTGGTATCACCCATGGAGAAGGATTGTTCAACTAAATGCTCCTCTGGTTTCAATGCTGCTCCAATTCTGACCTCTGGTGAAGGGCATGAGATCTGTTGCCATAGCATAGGGATTAAATGTAGAGTTACCAAACAACTTGTCAGCTATTGTATTTGTATACATTTTATTGTGGCAGCAGCAAGGAGCCCCAGTGTGCACCGTCACCCCATTATGCTCAGCATGACAGACCTCTGTCTCACAGAGTTTACATTCTAAGAAAACTTTCTAAAAGGTTCTGCAGCTTTTGATGAAGTCTGGTTTGTTCAAGACATGACAAACTCCACATTTTTACATTTATATCAAAGATATAGAGCATCTCATTTAGGGAGAGGCTTGGAGGACTTTTTATCATAGAATCCACCAATTTCTCCAGGAGGAGGCTCCTTCTACCTCCTCCAACCAGCACCATTTTTCTAAAGAGCAGAACCGCTGGCTTCGTAGCCCTCCCTGTGCTATTTGGCTTAGGGGATTGCATGCTGTCGCTCTTAAATTTGCTCTGTCTGGATTTTCCTAACAGAATCCTCACCCATAAATGATACAGCATGCCTGGAAACCCCTAGCAGCATGTGAGTTGGTTTCCCAAGAGTGGTAGGCAATTTGATATACAGCTGCTCTCTGAGTTACGAACGAGTTACGGACCAACACTTGGTCCATAACTCGAACTGTTCGTAACTCGGATCCGCATTTACGACCACTTTGGTCATAAGTGTGGATGGTCGTAAGTGGAGGTGGACGTAAGTCGGGGAGCGGCTGTATCTCTAACAGGGAAGCTTTAAACAGCTGGATAGAGTTTGACGGCAAATTGTTGGAGGTGAAATATGATGGAGGGGAATTTACACCAGCATTTTTGAAGCTGAAAAAATATTTAGTTCAAGGGATGGGCAAAAGGGCTTTTAGTCTTGCAAAACCAATTCACTTATCCTTAATTAATACAAATATGTGAGATTACCTCAGAAACTCTATTATGATGTTGTTAAAATAAATTACAATGTGCGATTAGCAAGGAACCAACTGAAATCTTGTTATTGCACAATGGGAGATATTAAGGAAATCCTGTGATAATCCCGTAACAATGTGTATTATAAGGGCAGCCTTATTCTTGGCAGGTCTGTTGGAACTCTTTCATATGTTAAATCTGAGTGAGGCACTATATTGGGTTTTAAAAAAAGTAAACTAATAGTGATAAATACAAAGGAAAGTCAAAATAATACAGTAAATGTGGAGTTTATAGAATACAGTATCTACCGGACTCAAAGCCCTATCTCAAAGCCCTGAATGAAGTTAAATGGAACTACATTTGGCAAAGTAGTCACAGATAGCAGAACCTGTTCTGTTGACAGAAGGAATATTTGATCCTGCATAATATAGCTGTACTCTACTCTTTGCCCTAGTCTACACTTGCAAGTTGTACTGAAATAACTGTATCGGTGAGGAGTGTCATATTTTTACAGCTATCGTTATACTGGGACAAGCCTTCATGTGGATGCAGTTATACAGGTATAAAGGTGCCTTGCCATGCTTTACTGGTATAAGAACTTTTGTACCGCCATAGCTGCAGCCTCACGAGAGTGGTTGTAGAGCTTTAACTGTACTGGTTAAGCATTACAGCTTTTATGACTGTAGTAAGAAAAAGGCTCAAAATCTTTATCCTTGTCCTAGAACAGCACCAGATGAAGGCAGAGTTGGCCTGTTTAAGGTTCTGTTAGAAAGGACAGGTGGGAATACTGGTACCTTTAATTTAGCTCCAGCGAGCCTAACAGTTGCATCACTGTCTTCTCTCAGGGGATCTGAAATCAGTGGAGCATCACTAGTTTATCATTATTTCCTTCATTATCTGTATTTGTGTCTATTGAGCTATATGTTTGCAGTCTAGTGAAAATGGCAAGCACAGTAGTGCCAACCTTCCAGGATTGTCCTGGAGTCTCCATGAGCTAAAGATTAGTCTTTAATTAAAGATTAAGTCTTGTGAGCAAAGCTCCAGGGTTACATTGAGCCAAAATTGATAATGTATAGCTGCCTGATGTCTGCATTTGAGTTGATATAAGAAAATGTGTGTGTTTACCACTTGGGATTTTTGTTGGTGCTTAATACAGAAGATTTTGGATACAAGCTGCTGTCTTTGGACTGGCAAAAATTATATTCACTAGAATATTTGGTTCTGTTGGCTTTGAAGAAACAGACTGTCCCAATGGTCTGCTGCTGTTAGTATTTTGTACTGCTCCATGAGAGACCAGGTTTGACTGATACTCAGCCAAAGAACAGAGGGCTGCCCAAAACCTCCTGTCTGACCAGTCAGAAAGCAAAATTGCTGGACTTCAAAGAGTCTCGGTACCTATCTGCTAAAAGTTTGGAAGCTGCATCATGGAGCCTTAAGTGTGGGGTGCGAAGTGGGAGGGAATTGGGAGAATCTGAAGATTTGGACAAAAACCCTGCAAATCTCCCTGGTAATAAATGTGGGAACTAAGGGAAAATTAAAGCCTGGTACAGTGGGACTGCTTCAGCTCATTTTTTTTCTTCTTCCCCTTTTCAGGGTCTGAACATAATCTTCCACGTAGCCTTGGCACTCCTAAAGGTAAGAAATTAATTTTAACCCTTTTGTTAAATATTCACTGTAGGTAAGAAATTAATTTTAACCCTTTTGTTTTTATAAAGCAATATCGAATATTCACTGAATCACAGGTTTGCTTAATTGAAGATGTCAAATCATCTGATAACACCACCTTGAAAGGCAATAGTGGTTGGTCTCTCAGAGTTAACATGGAGGAAAACAAATATATTGTAAAGGGTCAGGTTGGGGGAGAGTGGTCCTTAAAAATGTGAGCTTTGTTGTTTGTATTAACAAGGGCATCATTTATGAAGACTAGGGAATAGTAACACCCAGCCAAAGTTTGAACCCCTGGATTTCATACTTGAGGTCTGCCTAAAGCCCATGCCCTTAACTGCAACAGAGTTTGAGTTGCTTGCAGCTTTGCCTTTGGGGAGGGAGTTTGTTATAAAAAGAGGGAGGCAGGTGATTAAGAATAACAAAGGCTGGGCATTCAAGTAATTGAAGGATCATTAGATCATCATGAAAACATTGCCAGGTACTCCAACTAAAAAATATGGGTAAAAAAGAATAGGAATGAGTATTGTGCTGCTGGGATTTGCATTTGGACCACTGCTGTTAAACCTATAAATGTTCTTGAAAAAGGGGGTAAACAGTGACTAATCCAAAGCTGACTGCAAAGAGTTATAGAGGGATCTCACAAAACCAGGTGATTGGGCAACAGAAGGGCAGATGGAATTTGGTGTTGATAAATGCCGAGTAATGCACATGGAAAAATATAATCCTAGCTATAGATACAAAAATGACAGGGTCTAAAATAGCTGTTACTAGTCAAGAAAGAGATCTTAGAATCCTTGTGGATAGTTCCCTGAAAACATCTGTTCAATGTGCAGTGGCAGTCTAAAAACTAAAAAGCTAACAGAATATTGGCAGTCGTTCTGTTGGAACTCTTTCATATGTTAAATCTGAGTGAGGCACTATATTGGGTTTTAAAAAAAGTAAACTAATAGTGATAAATACAAAGGAAAGTCAAAATAATACAGTAAATGTGGAGTTTATAGAATACAGTATCTACCGGACTCAAAGCCCTATCTCAAAGCCCTGAATGAAGTTAAATGGAACTACATTTGGCAAAGTAGTCACAGATAGCAGAACCTGTTCTGTTGACAGAAGGAATATTTGATCCTGCATAATATAGCTGTACTCTACTCTTTGCCCTAGTCTACACTTGCAAGTTGTACTGAAATAACTGTATCGGTGAGGAGTGTCATATTTTTACAGCTATCGTTATACTGGGACAAGCCTTCATGTGGATGCAGTTATACAGGTATAAAGGTGCCTTGCCATGCTTTACTGGTATAAGAACTTTTGTACCGCCATAGCCGCAGCCTCACGAGAGTGGTTGTAGAGCTTTAACTGTACTGGTTAAGCATTACAGCTTTTATGACTGTAGTAAGAAAAAGGCTCAAAATCTTTATCCTTGTCCTAGAACAGCACCAGATGAAGGCAGAGTTGGCCTGTTTAAGGTTCTGTTAGAAAGGACAGGTGGGAATACTGGTACCTTTAATTTAGCTCCAGCGAGCCTAACAGTTGCATCACTGTCTTCTCTCAGGGGATCTGAAATCAGTGGAGCATCACTAGTTTATCATTATTTCCTTCATTATCTGTATTTGTGTCTATTGAGCTATATGTTTGCAGTCTAGTGAAAATGGCAAGCACAGTAGTGCCAACCTTCCAGGATTGTCCTGGAGTCTCCATGAGCTAAAGATTAGTCTTTAATTAAAGATTAAGTCTTGTGAGCAAAGCTCCAGGGTTACATTGAGCCAAAATTGATAATGTATAGCTGCCTGATGTCTGCATTTGAGTTGATATAAGAAAACGTGTGTGTTTACCACTTGGGATTTTTGTTGGTGCTTAATACAGAAGATTTTGGATACAAGCTGCTGTCTTTGGACTGGCAAAAATTATATTCACTAGAATATTTGGTTCTGTTGGCTTTGAAGAAACAGACTGTCCCAATGGTCTGCTGCTGTTAGTATTTTGTACTGCTCCATGAGAGACCAGGTTTGACTGATACTCAGCCAAAGAACAGAGGGCTGCCCAAAACCTCCTGTCTGACCAGTCAGAAAGCAAAATTGCTGGACTTCAAAGAGTCTCGGTACCTATCTGCTAAAAGTTTGGAAGCTGCATCATGGAGCCTTAAGTGTGGGGTGCGAAGTGGGAGGGAATTGGGAGAATCTGAAGATTTGGACAAAAACCCTGCAAATCTCCCTGGTAATAAATGTGGGAACTAAGGGAAAATTAAAGCCTGGTACAGCGGGACTGCTTCAGCTCATTTTTTTTCTTCTTCCCCTTTTCAGGGTCTGAACATAATCTTCCACGTAGCCTTGGCACTCCTAAAGGTAAGAAATTAATTTTAACCCTTTTGTTTTTATAAAGCAATATCGAATATTCACTGAATCACAGGTTTGCTTAATTGAAGATGTCAAATCATCTGATAACACCACCTTGAAAGGCAATAGTGGTTGGTCTCTCAGAGTTAACATGGAGGAAAACAAATATATTGTAAAGGGTCAGGTTGGGGGAGAGTGGTCCTTAAAAATGTGAGCTTTGTTGTTTGTATTAACAAGGGCATCATTTATGAAGACTAGGGAATAGTAACACCCAGCCAAAGTTTGAACCCCTGGATTTCATACTTGAGGTCTGCCTAAAGCCCATGCCCTTAACTGCAACAGAGTTTGAGTTGCTTGCAGCTTTGCCTTTGGGGAGGGAGTTTGTTATAAAAAGAGGGAGGCAGGTGATTAAGAATAACAAAGGCTGGGCATTCAAGTAATTGAAGGATCATTAGATCATCATGAAAACATTGCCAGGTACTCCAACTAAAAAATATGGGTAAAAAAGAATAGGAATGAGTATTGTGCTGCTGGGATTTGCATTTGGACCACTGCTGTTAAACCTATAAATGTTCTTGAAAAAGGGGGTAAACAGTGACTAATCCAAAGCTGACTGCAAAGAGTTATAGAGGGATCTCACAAAACCAGGTGATTGGGCAACAGAAGGGCAGATGGAATTTGGTGTTGATAAATGCCGAGTAATGCACATGGAAAAATATAATCCTAGCTATAGATACAAAAATGACAGGGTCTAAAATAGCTGTTACCAGTCAAGAAAGAGATTTTAGAATCCTTGTGGATAGTTCCCTGCAAACATCTGTTCAATATGCAGTGGCAGTCTAAAAACTAAAAAGCTAACAGAATATTGGCAGTTGTTAGGAAATCAATAGATAGTAAGACAAAATACCATATTGCCTCTATATAAAGTCATTGTATGCCCACATCTTGAATGCTGTATGCAGATCTGGTCACCCCATCTAAAAAAGATTATTGTATTTGGAAAAGGTACAGAAAGCGCAAGAGAAATGATTAGGGGTAAAGAACAGCTTCCATATGAGGAGTGATTAACAAGACTTGGGCTTTTCATCTTAGAAAAGAAATGACTAACGGGTGAGGGAATATGTTACAGGTCTAGAAAATCATGAATGGTGTGGAAAAATAGAATAAGGAAATGTTATCCATTCCTTCACTAACATTACACAAGATGCTGACCTAATTACATTTCTGGGCAGCAAATTTACAACAAACAAAATAGTGACAGACAATGGATCATGATGATTGCTTTTTCTGCTTAGTCCTTCTGAAACACCTGGCACTGGCCACTGTTGGAAGACAGAATACAGGGCTTGATGGACCATTGGTCTGACCCAGCATGGCCATTCTGATACTTTTATATAGAGCTGAAGTGTACTACCTGCTGCTGTAACCCAGTAAACCCCACACCCCTTCCACAGCTGAGTTAGAGCTAAGGATTCCTGACGGGGTCTCTCTCTCTCCACAAATTTAGTAACAAAGTAAGAATATATATTACAATTTTAAGGCTAACCAGTGTCCCTTAAGTGTCTTGCCACTAGAAGTCAGATTATGCTAGTTAGAGCTGAGCGGGTCTAATATTGATTTAATTTTCTTTCTTTTATGTAGGAATTAGATAGAGTGCTTCTGTCAGCTAACTGCTAAGCTGACTGCCAAAAAAAGTAGAGTTTTCCAGTGCCTTAGTAGCCCCTGGATAGAGATGATGCATGTGTGGCATGCACGCTGTGAAAACTGAGTTTCATTTTGTCAAGAAGGATTGTGGGAGAGAGTTGGAGCACTAGCAGCAACTGATTAGGCTGCTAGCTTGCCTCTACAAGACAGGGCCACTAGGGTTTTGCCTCTGTCCTTAGTCATGCCAGCTAACTTGAGTTACTAGTATGGTAGTACATTAGACAGGAGTTTTTGAGTGTGAATGGGAGTCAGATTAATAGGGTTTCTTGAACTATAACATGAATCAGCTTCCCAGTAAAGACAAGCCCTCCAAGAGGAAAAGTGATTTTTATCAAGAGTGTTGAATACTTTTTTGTTTTGATTTTGTTACTGCTTGTTTAACACTGACTATGCCTAATGAACAAGTAATAGGAACGTTTCCTTTTTCAAAGATTCAGCATCCCATTATAGCAATGAAGGGCTGAGAGAGTTCCTAATCCACTTCTTTGGGTTTTCTAAGGGGGACCGTCAACAAGGAAGATATGTGAGACTTCAAACATGAAAGTCAAGCACAATGATCCCAGTAGATTTGTTTTGAAGTCAACAGTTCTTACATGTTTTCCCCAAATACCTCATAATTCCCAGTGTCACCAGGAAGAGCAAGTGGGACAAAGTGTTATTGATAGCCCAAAACTGGACTGAACAGCTCTGGTTCTTGGATCTCATGGATCTAGAGTTGGACCTTGAAGTCTCAGGGTATGTCTACACTACAGCGCTAATTTGAACTAACTTAGTTCGAATTAGTTAATTTGAACTAAGCTAATTCGAATTAGCGCATCTAGACCTAAAAACTAGTTCGAATTAGCATTTTGCTAATTCGAACTAGCATGTCCACATTGAGTGGACCCTGAACAGAGGTTAAGGATGGCCGGAAGCAGTGCCGCCAGGGCA